CTTTATAATATCGTTTGAAATTTGTAGGCTAATTCTTTTTCAAATATGTGCTAATCCTTTAAATGTAAATTAAATATTTTTATAAATCACGTAAACTCTATATTATTTTAAGTATAACAAATTATGATTGGTCTTAAATGGGTATGATAACTTTTTACTAACTAAAAATTCAAAGAACTATTGTTTTGAATTATTTCACGAATGAAACATATTTCTATACAAAACAATCGTAAATTCACATATTTTAAGCAAATATGAGATTCCTTACAACTACAAATGATTGTTATATAAATTGTATTCGATAATTTTTAACTATATGGACTACCTAGAAATATGTTCTGTCTATGTATACACATTTTTCACCCTCCACAAATTCGAATCTACACAAACATATTCATTTTAACCCGCGCACAGCGCGAGTATTATCCTAGTACTTTAGTATTTATAGCCATTAGCCAAAGGGAAGATTAAGACAAACAAATTAAGCACACTTTTTATAATAATAAAAAATTTGTAGTCAAATATCAAAATTTGAATTAGTATTGTCACCATGACTTAGAAAGTAAACAATATTTCCACCTTTTGTAATGTTTCTTCATCAAATCAAACCCAACTTATTCCATATACAACTTATCCTCTTCCAAGTTTTCATCAAGCTCGGGACAGTACCAAGTGATGCAACTCCAACAAGTGAGGATTTGATGACAATGGAAATGTATTTGCTTAAACAAACTCTCCAAAACCGCGGTGAAAGAAAAACCAATCTAAACATCCAAAAGCTTCTAGGTAGAGGCGAATAAACCGTTGATTGTGCAAGGTTATTCGTTGATGCTAGTAGGATTGATCGAGCCTGATTGAGATGTATAACTAGATATAACGTACAAAACGTAGCCGAGATTTGATTGCTGTCTACGAATGCATATACTCGAAGAAGATGAAGTTACACACACAAACAGTTATTCATCCTTGTTCACAAACGAATACCTATCCTTCATTACAAACCTGAAAAGGTCCATTATAGTTCATCTCATCTTGATGATACAAAATCCGTAAGGGGGAAAAAAAGTCAAGTCTTTCTTCTTCTTCTTGAGTGAGCTTTGAAATTTTGTTTCAGTCACTTCCCCATTTCCGGACAACGCTCTCTTTAGCAGAGACAATACCTTCCTTCTTCCACATCTCCTCTGAGTTATCATTCGTTTTCGAGGTTTCTCTTCCCGTGAGTTTGGAGCTTAGAGAAGTCAAACCTTCTCGTGTTCCTCGCAACGCATACAACAATGGGTTTAACACAAATGCAGCCATTACTTCACCTTTTGCAACCATCATATACTGCAACCATATTAAACAAACCCAAAACCATCAACCAACAAGTTTTTTCTCTTTCTGATTTTCCAGTTTTGAAATAATAAGAAGGGTGACTTGGTAAGCAAAAACATACCACAAGAAGTATTGCTAAAAGGGTAATGCCAATCTGCTGTGCTTCACCCCAGAAATGATCGCCACTGAACCAACCACCACCTCCGAACCAGCCTCCTCCATTGCCACCATTTCCGTCACCAGACTCTTCTCTTTTCTTGATCTCTTTGTCCCACTTCTCAAACTCATGTTTCTTCCCACCAAGAGCGCTTTCCAATGCTTTTCGAGCTTGTTCCTGCACAATCAAGGAGATCGAACAACACAGTATTAGCCACCAAATCATGATGTTACCTTCTCCATCTTTCGAGCTTGCTCGAATTTTCATGTTTTCATCTATCAGCAACAATAAAATGCAGTCATGTCTGCCCAAGGAAACACTTGGAAAGATATGGACTCTTCTTAACATTAAAAAAAGTGTGGATTTTTTCAATTCCTAAATGAAAGTTCTTATTACTAAACAAACTATTTCCTGACTATATCCAGAGGAAGCAAAGATGGAGGAGGCACTGTGTTTGTGGTAAGAACAAAGCTATGAAACATCTATTCTCATACCAATTCACCAAACCAGAGAGAGAGACTCTAAACTCACAGGCAAATGTGCTAATTTGCTAGATACAGAATACCAATAGGTAAGAGTTGAGCTCTTAAACTTGTTCAAAACTTGATCAGTATGCTTCCCTTTGTCAAGTGAGAAACTAAAGTTAAGGACTTTACTCGATTCGCATCCATAAACAAGAAATTCAGTCCAACCCTCTTGTCCCCTGAAGCGGAATCAATATCGTTTCCAGGCGACAAAACCAATTCCAATCAATTCTTACTTACCTTTGACTGAAAACCCTGAACGAGCCAAGACAATTCGCAGCAGATTTCTCCAATACCTTTTGAGTGTTTGCTTATGGAAGGAAATTAAGTAAGAAAAACTAACCTCCCTCTGGTTGCCGGAGAAGAGACATGAGAATCGTCCCTTGCTTTTGGTAATGGAGGTTCGCAGAGAGAAGACAGAGTTGTGGTCAAGAATCCGGATTCGGAGGTGGAGAAGAGTCGAGGAAGAAGAAGGGTTTATCAGCAGCCTCATTACGTGTCCCATCTTCTCACTCTCTTATCCGAAAACCACAATGCCTTTTTTTCTTTTTTTTCTTCTGTGTGTTGAATTGATATATATACCTTTTTCAACATTCACCAATTTCTCTTTACATTTTGTGATCGTCTTTAAATAACCAAAAAAGCTTGTTGCTTTGCATGATTAGTTTGGTTATTTGCAGATTTATTATCCGATGTAGATTCTCTAAGTAAAATTGTGGCTTTGTTAGCTTATGAGCCTTCACAACTACAATGGCTTACTGTTTTGTCTTTTACCCTGCTTGTAAATTTTGTTGAAACCAAGAACTTGTGAAGGAGACGAATGAGAATCTTTTTTTTACTTCACTGAACTCGGAAATGAAACAAGAAATGAACGAATCTCAGAGACCAAAGACATTAAAGATCAATCAAGTTGCATCTATCTATATATACCACAAACCAACCACACCTCTTTTTTCAGTATTCAGATTTATTGACTTCTGAAGAAAAAAGGGTATCACTCATTTTCAACCAATAACTATCTCCATTCTCTCTACAGATCAATCTATCCGAAGTTCGTCGTATTGAGGCCTGAATTTGATGATCATCAGATGTGGGAACACAACAAGGCAAGCCATGAACAATGTAAACTGCAATATCATCAAAACAAAACCTTATTTTCCATAACCAGATAAGATTAGTCTACAATGATGATGATTTGTATTATGGACTGAGTGTCATACCAGAAGAGGGAGAGTCAAGAAGCCCCATATAGGCCATAGAGAAAAGGAGAGCCTGCATTTGCATTGCAGATTCATCACACATAACAAATATGATACTTCCCGCTAGCTAGTTCCTGATGATTAAAAAATGTAATTTTACTTACAGGCTAAATGAAATGAGGCCGAGTAGGGTGATGAATGGCAGAGCAGAGATACTCCACAGTTCCCATTTCTCATCAATCCTTCTCAAGCTCCATGACAACATACTTTCGTAGATTATGATTATAATGTTCACAACTATTCCCAACATCCCGAAATACAAAGGCATCCTGGAAAGGATTGCATTATGTTTAGATAGGTTTTCAGCAAGACCCATTATCTCAAACGATGTTGAAAAATGGCAGACAAACTACACAAAATCATGACAAGAGAATCTGTATATTCCAAACCATTTAAACAGTAAAGGCCTTCAAATAGTAGTCATCTTTACCTATGCACACGATTCTCCTAACACTCGATATATGACAAGTTTCTCCTAACTTTGCTTTCAATAACTTAATCCAAGGTTTATCCTTTTTTGACTGCTTACACTAAACCACCATAATCAAGAATACTGAACTCAAACTCCTATGGCATCCTCAGGTCTAAAGTGAGCCAAATACGTTTTCTTTTAAATAGCGTTCAAGAAATATGTTACCTTTTGATTCGAGCATCGTGTAGGAGGATGTAAATCATATTGGAGTGCCTGTCTCCAAAATAGACAATGAATACTGCAGATGCAATCCAAAGCACATTCTCCAGAATCTCAACCCAAGTTTTACATCTAGGACTTTCTAACGAGAAAGGTTGTGGCCTAGAGCAAGCATCGTCTTCAAGATCATCACCACCAGATGCATATCCTTGGCTATGTCTTTGCCTAATGTACCCACCACCACCAACCGGAGTTCCACCAGACATGTTCCTTAGCAACACCACACACAACCTAAGCAAACCCTAGTCCCGTCTATTCGATTTAAGCAAGTAAAAGGCACCAAATTTCGAAATTCGTCTCATTACAAAGCGATCCCCTCAAAAGTCTAATGCTTGCAGCCCCCAACGAGAGACCTGCAACGAAATTCGTAAGGTAAGAAAATACTTCAATTCCACAACATTATAATACCAAAATATGGGGGAAAAGGCCAGATTCTCGTCGAATCGAGCGTATCAAGAGATAGAAAACAAATGGAATTCAAGAATCGCGAGCTGAGGAAAATCGTAAACTAGTTAGATACGGAGAATTCGATGAGAAACGAGAAGAGATCAATAACCTGAATTGAGAGAGCTTCGTCGCGAACGACTGGAGAAAACCCTAAGAAACCGATCCCAAATTCTCTGAATGAAATTTTTTGAGAAAAAGAAGCTCTTTTTTTGCTCTGAAGCGTGAAGGCAGTGAACTGAACCGTTTTGGGAAGAAAGGGTTTGGAAACAGATTTCACCATACGACGTCGTCCGGTCCAACCACTTTCTCTAGTTTTTTTTTTCTTTATATTTGATAAAAACCACATTTCATTTGATATATAGTATAAAAGTTCGTTATACATAAAGAAAGTGTGACAAGTGTTGATGGGTTTGAGTTTGAGTTTTTTTTGTTCTTTATATCTTAAGCCTAATTTTATTATTTGTGGGTTTACAATTCACACATACTCTTTGTTGGTAATTAACGATATTGTTATCTCAGGTTGGCAATTATATGGCGGAAAAAATTATGTGGCATCGTGGCTACTTCGTTGCTTCTTTGAAACGATAGAGAACACTTTCTTATATGGTGTTATATATTTCATAAATTCATTTCACTATAGATTTTATCAAAAAAGAATTACACAACCAAATGGCTCTTGGTCTAGTGGTTTCTTCCTCTTAAAAATGAGAAAAAGTCTCTAGTTCAAGTCCACTTTAGAGGAGAGGATTTCCAAAGGAAATAGACTAAAGCTCGATTTTGGCTCATGGAGAATATGGCTTAGAACCGAACTTTGAGGTTTTCACAAGAAAAAAAAATACACTAGATCTAAGTGATATTATTTTTTGATTTTGAGAGAGCGAAACGTTCATTTTCATTGCAATCATTCGTAAATAATAAAATTTTAACAAAATATTCATAAGCACTTTGTTCCACAATGTTCATAATATATGCTCTTTGGAGTTTTTAACAACTTTTTTTTTTTATAAATGGACGAAAATATTGTTTCTTTGCTTAAGGCCAACACCCTCGAAACCGCTTTGTACTTTTCAATCGCAGAAAATATGTGGCTAAAATG